TGCGGATGATGTCACCGAGGGGGAGCATATAGAGGGTGAAGAGGAGGGGACCGAGGACAGAGCCTTGAGGGACACCGCACGAGACAGTGCGGGGGCTGGAGGAAAAGCCGTTTGTGGAAACAAAATGAAGACGGTGGGAGAGGTACGACCTAAACCACTCAAGGACAGGGCCTTGAAGGTTTAGGTGGGAGGACAAGCGGTGGAGGAGGATAGCGTGGTCGACCGTATCGAATGCTGCCGATAGGTCGAGGAGGACGAGGAGGCAGAGGGAGCCCTGGTCACAGATGGTCAGGATGTCATTGGTGACCTTGACCAGGGCAGTTTCTGTGCTATGGGCAGCACGGAAACCCGACTGAAGGGGTTCGAATAATGAATGGGTGGAGAGGAAAGAGCGCAGCTGGGAGGCAACAACTCGTTCCAGGACCTTGGACAGGAAGGGGAGGTTGGAGATGGGCCGGTAGCTTGATAGCTGCGACGCATCAAGGGAGGGTTTTTTCAAGGTGGGAGTGATGGTGGCAGTTTTTAAGGGAATGGGAACAGAGCCAGAGGAGAGGGACAGGTTGACGATGTCTGTGATATGTGATATGTGGGGCAAGGAGGTGGAGCTGAGAGATAAGGAGTGGAGTGGGGATGGGGTCAAGGGAGCAGGTGGTGGGTTTCAGGGATAGGATGAGTTTGGTGTCAGAGGGTGGGGAAACGGGTACGAACGTGTGTAGGGGAGGATGGGTAGGAGTCGGAGTGTGGGAGGGAGTGGGTGGGGTGTGGGTGGATGTTGGAGGGGAAGTGACCGCGGAGCGAATTCCCTTGATTTTGGATTCAGGGAAATCCAGCATCTCCTCGCAGTTAAGGTTGGAGGAGATGACCTGCGCGGGGTGGCTGGGGGGACGGAGGAGTCAGGATGTGGTAGAAAACAGTAGCCTGGGGTTGTTCTTCGCCTCCAGGATTATCCTCTAAGGGCCTGCAGACTCCTTCAATCTCCTTGCATTCATCAGAGCTCAGCAAACCTAAGTCAGAATTTTGATTACTGCATATCCTGGAGGAATCTGATGGTAAATCAGATCTTTAATTACAACAGCACCATATTAACATTCGGAGAACAGGTTCACCTATAAATACTCACACTTGTTAAACAGATATCTGTCACACAAGGGCAACGGGCTAATCAGAATACACGCACGTAATATCCTTAAAATGACTTTCAGACGACAGAAGAAGATTAAACACAGTTTATGGAACGGGTAACTGGGGAAAATAAAATAGCTTTGGTTTTCTTCTTGTGATAATCCATACTCATTAGAGTATGGATTATTAGAGTTGTTTTCTAACTTTTATTCACAGGACTATATAAGAAATCGGAAGCAGAAAAGGAAGATAATTCCCCTTCCAGACCTGCTGTATTGTTCAAATCCTTTCACTCCCTGGCATCTTCCTACCTCTCCAACCTCCTCAATCCCCAATCCACCACCCAGCGCCTCCGCTTGATTGGTACCGGCCTCCTGCTCATCCCTCGCACTCCCGCCCCACCATCAGAGGTCGCGCTTTCAGCCATTAATGCCTTGAAACTCTGGAACACTCTCCCTCAATCCCTCCGCCTTGCCCCCTCTCTCCCCTTTTCCAAGTTCTGCCTGAAAACCTTCCTCTTTGACCGTGCCTACGGCCATCTTCCCCCCGGCTTGGAGTCAGGCTCTGCCACTGTTAAGCGCTCTGAGACGCTATCCTGCATGGAGGGCACTATATAAGTGCAAGCTGTTCTTGTTGCTCACAAAAAGGGAGGTGTGAAAACATCTCACTCACTCCCAAACATCCAGCGTTCGGCTTTGAAGGTAGTCAATTGTATTTTTCTCTTTCTCAGAGTTAGACAAATTGCATCGAATCGTTTCCCACCAGATTTAAGATGAACTTAATACCACTAAAACCAATGAAACAAACTTACTTTCCACCCACCATGGATTCTAAATACAGTGCTCCCATTTAACATAATAATACATACATTTGATATAGCGATTATCATGTCTTCAAGCCGTCTCAAAGCGTTTCACAGAATATACTGTGAAGTGATTTGACTAATATTTTGTGGGCGAATATAGCAAAACATACAGATTATACGAGGAGGGAGTATCCACCTAACGCATGAGAAGGTAGTGGTATATTACTTTAATTGTTGAATAATGATTACAACAGTAATAACCCTTAAATTTGATATAGCACGTTATCATTCTCACAAACATCTCGAAGCACTGAACAGGGTCTTACTCTAAAGACCAATGACTGTATTTGTTGGCAAATAATTAACTAGTAGCTGTGTTTAGGCATCAAAGTATTGTAATGCTATCAGAGAAATGATTATTCACTGAGGTCTATTATTTGTGTAAAGAAGCTTGTATTCTGGTCTTGCATTACTATATGTACACAGACAGAATTTTACAGATTTGCCTAATTTTGCAATTGTAATAATAATACAATAAGTCTTGCATTTTATATAGCGCTTTCATGTTGGGAAGATGTTTCAAAGGATATACACTGAAGTGTAGTGATTGCATTTTGTAGGCAAACATGACAGCCACTTTATGCACAGCAATGTCCCACAAACAGCCATGACCAATTTTTTAAATTCCCTTCTCTTTTTGAATGGTGCCATATCCGATCGAACAGGTGAATGGGATTTTGGTTTAACATTTCATCCTAAGAATGGCACCTCCAACAATACAACACTCCCCCAGCACTGCACTGAAGTGTCAGCCTAGATTACGTGAATTCAAAGTCCCAATATGAAGCTTGAACCCACAACCTTTTGACTCAAAGGTAAGAGTGACACCAACTGAGCCAGGCTGACACACAGCTGACAACCAGTGAACAGTTGTCATTCACTGGTTAGTGAGATGAGCTTTATGCTGACTCATGTAAGCTCTGTCCCAAAAGCTAATTGGGTCAGAGCAAAGTGTTCCCAGGAGGATTCTGTATTTATATAAACCCGTTTCAAATATCAAGACTTCAGCCTGAAAAATTCCTAAATTTTATAATCAATATGTAACTGTAGGAGTGTTTCTTCTTTCTCTCTGCACCCCTTCTTTCCAACTGCACACGCAAATCATTTCTCAACAAAAAGCAATACAATGTACATTTAACATCAGCTAGTTCATTTTTGAAAACTATATAAAGAATGTAACCAAACATTTTTAAAGCACAAATGTGTTTCCTCTGAATAAATTGTGCACTGATTCAGGGCAAGCAGTGTGTGCGTTGTAGTTCGATCGGAACAGTCTTCTCATCTCTGCTCATGTTTCATTAAAACCATGAGCTGCATTAATAAAACAGCCAGGATTACAGATGCCTTCTCACCCAAACCACTACCTCGGATAATCCACAAATCCCTCAGCGACAAATCCGTCCAGAGTTCTGACAAACCATTGCTCATCTGCTTGGTTTTCTGTACTAAACAGAGGCCTCAAAACTCAGCCCATCTGCACATTCAGAAGTGTTTCCTGAATTGTGGACTGAATTCTATACATTAAAAATTCTTATCAGAGGAGATCGGTTTCTCACTCAGCAGTCCTGACAATATCTTGCTTCAGTGTACGAAATCAATTCTGGAAAACAGAGACTCATGTGTTTAGATCTGATAAATCCTTTCACTGGGGTGGATTTTACCATGAAACTAATTTTCTTGTGTGAGTTGCTGCTAATGAAATAAGGAAGAGAAAAAAAAGAGCAAAAATCAATTTGCAACAAAAATTTCCATTAAGTTTCAAACAACCGGTTGTTTGGCCATACAGTCAAGGCTTGGCAACCTCAGGGCTACAAAGAGGATAAAATTCAAGAAGAATATGCAGAATAAAATCTTGGAATTTTTAACAATATCCACACTGCCTCTTGAACACCACTGATACTGCAGTGAATCCCCAGTAGAGAATAAGAATAACATAAGCACCCGACATCCGTGATTCCTGCAGTCACCACTGTACACAGCTCCTCAGGATACTGCAATCTGATAGTTCTCACACAGTGAAAACTCACAATCCAAATACCACTGCTGATTTCAGCCTTCACTGAGGTTGTGGCTTCAGACCTGTAATTCTCCCACAGCAAGTTCCTGTTCTTCGCAGAGCCATTGGAAAACGGAGGCTTTCTTTTCTTTTCCCCACCCCATCACCCTCCTCCTAGCCTTCACTGAGGTCTGAATACACCTGCAATGTGGACTACTGCCGCTTTCACATCCAAAACACAATTTACTCTTCAATCTCACACCCATCAATACAGCGAAACTTAGATCAGCAACAACATTTCAAGTTTTCTGTGTAATTTCTAATTTTACATCCAAATATCTTCCATTAATTTCCCCACATTTAAAAGACGAATTTAACACAATTCCTCACTTGCATTTTGGTTGGGGTGGGATTAAGATTTAAACTGTGATAATTAATTTCCTTCGAAACAACAGGTATGAAGCCACAATCTGTGGCCCAGTGTTTCCATATCCCTCTGCACAATGTCTCCATACATCTCCACTCTACACAACCAAATTTACTGTATGTTCCTCCCCAGTCGTCCTGTGCATCACAAAAGTACCACCTATAAAAAACACACACCTTAAAAGGGTTGCCAATCCCTTTGAAATCCCTCCACGGCCTTGCCCCACCCTACCTCCATGACTTCCTACAAAGCCTACCAACCCAGCCACATCCCTTCGCTCAACAAACCCTGGCCTGCTTCACGTCCACCGCTCTATCCACCCAACCATTGGTGGGTGAGCTATCAGCCATTCTGCCTCTCTTTGGAACTCCATCTGGACATGGTTCTTGTGACTAGTCCTCTCAATCCCCACGTGCAAAGTCTGCCTCAATTTATTTCTTTGCCTGCGCTTTCGGTCACTTTTCCCCACCTACCGTCTTTAGCTGCGACCCACCCACGCACTGGCTCGGGTACCTACGTAACAATGTGAAGCACTATGAGACACCCTCCTGAAGTGGAGCTCTACATAAATGTAAATTGTGTTGTATTACCTCAGCTGCTTTAAGAAGTCCACGTCGAAGCTGCTATTGATAAGTTTGATGAATTCCTCGTAGGATGGAGAGTAGGAGTAAGCCTTCTTGTGGTGCTCGTTCACGTGCTCCCTGTGCTCCATCTGAGTGAGCAGCATTCGATTAATGTAGTCGGGATCACTCAACATCTCCACCATGGGCTTCAGCACTGGCAACAGGACATTCAGGAAAGAGGTTATTACAGGCGATTCCCATCAGATAATTCCCATCATCTACTGAAGTACGTTTCCCTAGAACCTTTCTCCTCCTCTCTGAAAGTGGTCGCTCATGCTGGTGTTTGGTTCTGCTCATATTAACAACTTCTGGACATTTTGTTTGTGGCCATCTTTCAAAGGAGGACATTATAGCTAATTTCTATCTTGTGGTGATGCGGACACCATGCATTGCACTGTCTGGCATCTTTCGTGCGCTGTTACCCTGGGGCTCATCTGTTTGGTCAATGTTAAAATTGGTCATTTACATCACGGCCGTTTGTGGAACATTGCTGCGTGCAAATTGGCAACCACATTCAGCTACAAACAAAATGCCTACATTTCACAGTAAAATTACATCTAAGGCATTATATCAAAATAATAATTATTTTAAATTATACATTTAATATTGTATAAAACATAATATATCTGTTAAGCCATAATATCAAAATGCAAAATTTCCATAGTTATTTTTTTTCTTAGAAGTAAATTGCAAGGGAATGTTCAATGGCGCTATTCATTTTAAAGGAATGAAGTGTTAAAGGTAACAGTGGTACTGGCTCAAGGGTCTGAATGGCAATAGAACATTACAATGCAGAAGATGGCCATTCAGGCCTTTATGCCTATGCTAGAACTATGAATGAACAATCCATTCAGTCCCATTTAGCTGCCTTTTCCCCATACCCTTCAAATTATTTTTTGGATACCTATCTAGTTCTCTCTTGAAAACTAACATGGATCCTGCCTTGCCCATCGCTCTCTGCAGGGCAGCCCACATCCTAACCTTTCCTCCTAATCTCCCCTTTTTGCTCCTCCAGTCTTTGCCCGTAGCTCAAACCACCCATCCCTGATATCATCCTTATAAGATTCCTCTCCATCCTCTCTATGGGTGGGTGATCAAAACCAGAAACAATATTCAAACAACACCTTAACTAATGATTTATACTAGTTTGCTAAAAATTACTGTATCTCTACATTTCCCTTGATATCTGCCCAGTGTGAAGGGCGCTATATAAATGCAAGATGTTGTTGATATTTCAGGCAGATCTAAGATGAGGTTCACAACCTAACCTAATCTTCCAGCACCCGAGGGTGCACTGCTCAGTGTGCAATTGTGCTCACAAATTTTAATTACCCTCAAGTTAGGTTTGACAATGGGAAACAATATTTACTGGCATCAATTCCAGCCAGTGATAAAAAATAAACCAATTTGTTGGAAAAAAATCAATTTAATTCTCATCCTATAGATAATGCAATATAAGAACACAGAAAAACGAATGAACAACCTTTATTGGATTGCAGCTTCTTGCCAATGGTGCTAGTTTATGTCCAATATTCCCAGGTTCACTTGTTACATTAATCAATGAGAATCTCTCAAGGAGCCAATGACCAAAAAAACAATAATGATCCAAGAAGTGTATTTCTTACCCCTCCCAATGAATTGTCTGCACATTCAGGCATTGCTGTTTCAATACCCCTAACCTCTGAAACTCCCTATCTGTCTTTAAATCCCACGTAAAGCCTCTTTGACCACACCTATAGTCACCTCTCCTTATTGCTCACCGTCTGAAGCTATTATTGTGAAGCACTCAGACATTATTCTATGACCTACGCAAAGAGCGCTACATGAATGAAAGTGGCCAGGATGGTAGGAGGTTAGGAGGTCGCAGAGGTAAGGGGGAGCGAGGCCACGGAGGGCTTTGAGGGCGAGGACCAGGATCTTGAACTGCATCCTCTATGTGATGGGAAGTCAGTGGAGTCGGGCGAGGATGGGGGTGATAGGGTCACGGAGCCTGGTGCGTCAGAGGCCACGAGCTGCAGAGTTCTGGATGATCTCCAGCCTGTGGAGGGGGTTGTTGGGGAGGCCGATAAGCAGTGAGTTTGCATAATCATGCCTCGATGCAATGAAGGCGTGTATGAGGGTTTTGGCGGCCTGCGGTGTGAGACAGTATCGGAGTCGAGCGATGTTGTGGTGGGGGAAGGTAGAGCGGGTCATGGCCAGATGTGGGGTAGAAAGGATATTTATGGATCAAACAATATGCCAAGGTTCTGGACTGGCTTAGCAAGGTGGAGTGTGCAACCATGGACGGTGATACTGTCAGCGCCTGAGGTGAGGAGGCGCTGACGGCAGCCAATCAGGAGAGCCTCGGTCTTGTTGACATTCAACTGAAGAAAGTTGGCTCTCATCCAGGACTTGATATCTGACAGATATTCTGTCAGGACAGCAGTGATCCTAGAGTCAAGGGAGGAGGCAGAGAGATAGAGTTGGGTGTCATCCACACACATGTGGATGGGGACCCCATGTCTGTGGATGATGTCACCAAGAGGGAGCATATAGATATTGAAGAGGAGGGGACCAAGGACAGAGCCCTGAGGAACGCCGCACAAAACAATACAGGGGCTAGACGAGAAGCCGTTTGTGGAGATGAAGTGGAGGTGGTGTGAGAGGTACGATTTGGGAGAGTCATTCTGAGCATAAAGTCTTAAAGTGGCACGGATAGGAATACAGAGACCTGTCTCTCAGCCTAACTCATGTTCACACTGCTTCGATAAGCAATAGCTTTGCTTTTCAACATATGCACCAAGACACAAAGCTCCAGGTGGCAAGTGACAACAAGGGAATACAAGAGGGGTTGAGGAATGATGGTGATTCACAAAGTATAAACACCAGCACGACGAGTTGGTCTGAATGGCCGGTTTCCATGCTGTAACAGGTTGTGTAATTCTACAACTATGAAATGTCATGTTGCACTTCTCCAGTCCTTTCAATGTAAAGATGAGAATCATATAAATAAACTTGCGCTCCCACTGTACACGCATGCCACAAAACAGCCAAAGGGAAACTTCCTCCACATTCAGGAAGCTAATCGGTATTTACTAGGCTTACAGAACTTCAGTAGAAATTAAATAGAATATTTTGTACCTAGATGAGCAGGATTTGAGAACACAATTACCCAGAAGTATGTATGTGCAGTGGCTTTCATTGATCTAATTAACAACAGTGTTATCATTGATTTGCCCACATTTTGAGGTCTGGAGGCTACAATTAAACCGGAGAATTCTGCAGTTGGAGAAACCCACAACTGCCATCAGCAGAAGTATTGAGCCCAGGATTAATGAGCCCGGGAGCAATGGGACCCAAGGCTGCAAATAATTGGATTGGATAACTGTATCCCAGGACAAGGAGGATTTAAGAATAATAATGAATCTACAAATCACCTCCCCCCACCACCCCTCCCCGAACTTGCTACAGATTACCACTCAAATGTTAAAAATGTTACCACTCAAATGTTACCCCTTCACATGCTACAAGTCGCCAAATTTATTACAAATAAACAATGTCATGGTACCAATAACCCAATAACATGATGCAATTACAAATTTAAAGCTTCAAACTTTGTTCCACCAGAACGGGAAAAACAAATCTTTGCTTAATAGTCCAACGGCAGTATGGAACATTGCTTGTGACTGCACATTTCATCTAATTTTGCTTGATTTATGAATTACTCAGTCATATTGAATCACAGGCACTTTTATCATTTAAATACTTAGTTGGAATACATCACACAGCGTACAGATTTCCAAACATTGGTTTCAAAGTAATAATAACATTTCTGGAAGATCAGCACAAAAGTAACATGGCTGGCTAGTTAATTAGGGTTCTTTTGGCAGCACCTTTAAGATTCACTTCATTAGCTATTTCTAAATATTACCTACAAATCTTTTCACGCCAGCACCTCCCTGTCTCTGTCATCTCCTACACCACTATTCTGTTTGCCCCCTCCGACAGAAGACCTGCGACAAATCCTCCAACCCACCCACCTCACCATCAGTGGAAAAGCCTTCAGCAACCTTGCCCCACTCTTGGAACTCCTCTGTACCCCTTAGTCTCGCCTCCTCTCGATTGGTCTTTAAATGCCAGCAAAACAACTACCTCCTCACTCATACCTATTATCACCACCACCTCAACCCTCACTCAGCATCTAATACTATCCCTGTGAAGGGTTCCAAGACATTATCCTGTATAAATCCAAGACGTAATTGGTGTTGTATTGTTTCTCAAGCTGAAGACCAGCTTAGCTTATCCAAGAGTAGGAGCAGCAGCACCAGTAAAATTAAATGATTCAGTGCATGACCTGGTTACAAACTTGAATCTGTCAACTGTTGGCCCATATTAATCCAGACAACTACCTGATGCAATGTATCATGGAGAGTTAAGCTGTTATTGATCAGACATCTCCAGAGAATGAAAGTCAAGGTTACAAAGCTAGAGCTTTTTTGAAAAAAACTGCAAAAGGTTCCCTCTCTCCTGTTGGAAAAAGACACTGCTGAGTTTGGCACTGAGCTCTGAACAACACAAACCGTAAGGTTCCTAGGTTTAATCCGCAATCTCAGCCCACGTGGTACTATAATTGATCTTATTGCTCCTGGCCTTGGGAGAGGGAAATACGATTAGGGCTTTCACAGCTTATTACAACTATTGGTACTTCTACACAGTAAGTCAGATCCCTTTAGCACAATAATCGTGTTCACATGATGACTGCGAATGTATTATCTGGACCAGATAGTTTCTCTATCATAACAATGAAAACAACAACAACAACAAGATTCCATTTATAAAGCGCCTTTCACATCAGGAGGACGTCCCAAGGCGCTGCACAGTTGGGTCATGACCCGAGCAGGGGGGAAATGATCAGGGTGAGGGGAGGGAAGGGAGGGAGCGAGGAGGGGGGCAAATGGTCAGGGTGAGGGGAGGGAAGGGAGGGAGCGAGGAGGGGGGAAATGGTCAGGGTGAGGAGGGAGGGAGGAGGAGGGGGGAAATGGTCAGGGTGAGGGGAGGGAAGGGAGGGAGGAGGAGGGGGGAAATGGTGAGGGTGAGGGGAGGGAAGGGAGGGAGCGAGGAGGGGGAAGAGAGTCGAGAGGGGAGCTGAAGGCTCGGTCAAAGAGAAAGGTTTTGAGACCGGCCTTGAAGGAGGAGAGGGAGGAAGCGGCGAAGGCACTGGGGGATAGAGTTCCAGAGCCTCGGGGCTGAGAGGCTGAAGGCCCGACCACCGATGGTAGGGCGATTGGGGCGGGGGACGTGGAGCAGACCGGAGCCGAGAGGAACGGAGGGTACGGGCAGGTAGGTAGGGGGATAGTAGGTTGGAGAGGTAGGAGGGAGCAAGGCCGTGAATGGCCTTGTAGGTGAGGATGAGGATCTTGAAATCAATCCTCTGGGGGATGGGGAGCCAGTGGAGGCGAGCGAGGGTGGGAGTGATGTGGTCGCGAAGCCTGGTGCGGGACAGTACACGAGCTGCAGAGTTCTGAATGACCTGCAGCTTGTGGAGGGAGGTGGCGGGAAGGCCGGCGAGGAGAGAGTTCCCATAGTCCAGCCTTGAGGTGACAAAGGCGTGAACCAGGGTTTCAGCAGCGTGAGGGGTGAGGTAGTGCCGTAGTCTGGCGATGTTCCGGAGGTGATGGAAGGCGGTGCCAGTTGTGGTGCGGATGTGAGGGAGAAAGGACAGCTCAGGATCGAACAAAACGCCGAGGTTCCTGACCGGCTTTGAGAGGTGGAGAGTGCAGCCTTGGATGCTGATGGTGTCGGCGCCTGAGGTGCGGAGGCGCTGACATGAGCCAATCAGGAGGGCCTCGGTTTTTCGCACGTTGAGCTGAAGAAAGTTGTCTCTCGTCCAGGACTCGATGTCGGACAGGCAGCTGTCAGGACATCGGTGGTCGTGGAGTTGAGAGTAGAGGAGGAAAGGTAGAGTTGGGTGTCATCCGCATACATGTGGAAGTTAACTCCATGTCTGCGGATGATGTCACCAAGGGGGAGCATATAGAGGGTGAAGAGGAGGGGACCGAGGACAGAGCCCTGAGGGACACCACATGAGACAGTGCGGGGGGTGGAGGAGAAGCCATTCGTCGAGACAAATGAAGACGGTGAGAAAGGTACGACCTAAACCATTCAAGGACAGTGCCTTGAAGGTTGAGGTGGGAGGACAAGCGGTGGAGTAGGATAGCGTGGTCGACCGTATCGAATGCTGCCGATAGGTCGAGGAGGATGAGGAGGCAGAGGGAGCCCTGGTCACAGATGGTCAGGATATCATTGGTGACCTTGACCAGGGCAGTTTCTGTGCTATGGGCAGCACGGAAACCTGACTGAAGGGGTTCGAAAAGTGAATGGGTGGAAAGGAAAGAGCGCAGTTGGGAGGCGACAACTCTTTCAAAACATCAGTTCCATCACATTAGTAACATAATCATTTATCTACAACTACAGTCACTACACGTTATGATAAAATCCAGCAAAGCACTTTGAGATGTTCCAATGCTATAAGTTATTATATCAAATGCAAGGATTATTATTATATTATATAGAAATTGTAATCATTTTGTTTCCAATAAAGGGTAAAGCCAAGTCACAAAGCCTAACTTAACCAGAACCCAAATCCTCAAACTTCAGCACCTTTTGCATATCAAAAGGTGGTTAGCAGATCAATGGTTGGAGCACTCGCCACATAAGCAAGAGACCTGGGTTCGATTCCCGATAGGGCGAAACGTTAAGCAAGTTTCCTTACTCCATACGCCTCTATTTACTTAGCAGTAAGTACGAACCCGGTTGTTAGTCAATTGCCAGATTGTTTTTCCGGAGGGAATAATTCCTTAAAAAAAATAATAAAATTGGTCACTCAATCACGACTTTGGGGACTGCTGTGCCCAATTGACTGCCGCTTTTCACCCACAAAATATACAGTCAAATTCACTTTACAGTATATTCTGTGAAGCGCTTTGAGACTTCTCAAAGACGTGATAAGGTGCTATATCAAATGCAAGGTTTATTATTATCATTATCATCAAAGTGAGACGGCGGTGTGCTCATATCACAACTCAAAGAAAAAATTAAACTGTACAACATCTCATTTTGTACCAGTTTAACACGTTTTTCTTCATGCCAACTTAGAACTAAACGCACTCTCCATCACCAGTTACATCATTATTAAAATGGACATCAGACTCCATCTGATTGCCTTTGTATCACATGCTACCATTAACATTGCACATTACAGTAATGATTCATTAACTGCCTATTTGTAAATATATTGTATGCCTTCCAATCCTTAACTTATTCCTAATTGGTTTTTAGGTCCAACATGCTAAGAAGTCTTTTTCATCTCTCGAGAGTTTCAGCCTACTGAGAATGCCTCCAAAGCACCTTATCACATATCAGCCTCCAAAAAGACACAGAAAGGTTAAAAGTAAAATAGAACTAAAAAGAGCAAAATCTAGAACACAAAGTTCCCTGAAAATTATTGCGATCCATTTCTCACTCGGTCTTTGTGAAACTCTTTACAAGACTTTCTCCCAGACTGAATGACTATACAAGTGTAAATTGTTGTTGATCTGGAGAATGCCATTTCTTTCATCCCATCAACTACAATCTCAATTTCTGAAGAACACAGATGCTGGTTTACAGAACCTCAGACATAAGGGAACTTCAAAATGTACATTGCTAGAATTGAATCAGCTATAAGCACACAATTTGTTAATTAAGAGGCACGTTTAATGTTTTCTGCAGCACATCAAACTAGAACAAACCATTAGTGTCAGGGATATCAGGAGCTGTGGCAAAAGAATGCTATTCACCAAGTGATACCCTCCAAGTGTCACTGATGAGGCTGGCAGGCTTGTCGATCATTAACAGTGCCCTGGAATACTTTGCTCCTGCCTGCCTCAAGTATCAGGGAACAGAGTTCACCATAAAGAGTTGAATCAGCTCAACTCTCCCTTGACCAGGCACATCACCATGGAGTTCAACGCCTGAGAAATCCAGTTTGGTCACAAGTTGAGATCGAGTGTAGATTCAGCTATCACTAAATAGTACCAGGAACTCCCTGAGCAGCATGGTAAAGCGACGCAGCTACACAAAAATAACATCCAATAAAAGTGTCATACACCACAACCAGTGAATGGTCTTCATCATCAAATTCTGCTTCAGGTTGGCTCCTCTGTCACCAGCAGCGCCTTGGAATACTGCTTACCTTCCTGGCTCAGACTACCGCCCGCCACAGAGGGATGACTCAATCCCAACATTTCAGACTCCCGATTACCAGGAAGTTTAATAAAATATCTACATCGATAGAACAAAACGACAGATTGAAGTACATCCAATGAAACCGATAACTGAAGATGTAATATACCATGGCAACATATACCTTTCATGGCTAATATTTCTGCAAGAACAATTCGCAGACTGCGAGAATGGACATCTTTTGTGGTTAAAAGACAGAGCACCAGCACTCGTGAACATGTGCGCAGGAATCGGCTCTCATCTTCGGGGCTCTTCAAGCATGGGTGTAGGGCAAAAGGCTTGGGCTGTTCCTCCTGCCTAGAAAGAACAATATTTAAATCACATACATCAAAGGTCAGCATTATTCCAATAAAAAAAATTACATTTCACCTACACTATAGTGCCTTTCACATCAGGAGGACATCCCAAAGCCCTGAACAGTCAAGAATTTGGACCTGAGCAGGGATCAGGAGGGGTGGAGGCCAGGGATAGGAGGGTGGCTGAAGGTGCGGTCAAAGAGGGAGAGAGCAAAGCTGTGGGATGGAGTTCCAAAGGTAAACTTTAAGACAATCGTCCTAAACTAATTAAATGATTCTTGCATTTGATTTGCATTTTACATCAGGACAACGGGATATATTGTAAAGTGGAGCAGCTGCGTATTTTGCAGGCAACATGGCAGTTAATTTGTGTACAAGAATATCCCATAAATCAGCACAAAGTGAATGACCAATTTTATTTGGGGATTGATAGCCAGAACACTGGGAAATACTTCCTTCTCTTTTTGAATAGTACCATGGGATATAGTACCGATATCGGGCTTGAACCCACTGCCTTCTGACTCAGATACAAGAGTACGACCAACTGAGCCAGGCTGACACCTAAATTGTGAGCTGCAGAATTTCAGAAAATTCCTAAATCTAGTTTTAATTTAAAAGGCATTTTTCTCCAATGCCAAAAAATATCAGGGGGAAAAATAGGATAGTGAATTTTCCCAAATTCTGCACAATTTTAACATTGAAGTCTTAAGGATATGAACTGGAGAAACTTCAGGCCTGTGGCTTCTTGCTTGCCGGGTGCATGTTGGGAGCCATTAAGCAAGTGCCCGGCTGTCTCTAACCAGTAGCAATAAGGTATTAAAAGAGTTAAAAGTGGGAATGAATGAATGTGATAATTACACAGGTATCTTCTTCTTCACAACAGATGTAACAAACCAGTAGTGCCCGACAGTATTCACAGGTCTCGGGAGTACTAAACACAGAAGCCACTCCATGGAATGTGCATAGCAGAACCAAACCTAGTTATTTCAATTATTTCAAAGATCTGCAAAGGTGATCTTACTAGGGATTTATCTTACTTTTGTTACAGCTCTTTCAGCAAGGGAGGCTGGTAATAAGCTCATTATAATCCGGTTTGCAGCAGAGGTCCTGATACAGTGCATCAGCAATGCTCCTTTTCAACATTGGCGAACACCAGGCAATACCCAACACTGGTTAACAAACTGACCTCTTCTCAGAGCTTTCAGAGGCAAAGATAAACAACAGTGACTAAAGACAAGTGACCGTTAGGTCAAATTCAAGAGAAAGGCAGCCTGACCTGGACACATGTATGTGGCCTGTACTAAAAAACAATATCTATACCATCTCAAGTCTGTACTTCGAACTGTACTTTATGATGAAATGCTAAGTCTCACTAGAACAATTTAACAGCTTTTATACCGGTAGAGTTAACGGTACAAATGGATTAAAAGTAATAATACTGGTTTGTAATTATTGCAAGATACCTTCACAAATCACTGCTCAATGATAACCAGAAGTGTTAAATAGACAATGTTATCAGAAAATCAAACTGAATTAATTATTTTATTTCACTGAGAACAGGAAACCGAGAATCAAATTCCATTTTGCTGAAACTTTGAAAAGCTGTGTATCTTGCGAGGCATACAAGATAGGTTTGTAGAAGATTGATCCACTGGATGTCTGCATGTGTGGATATTAAGTGAAGGCAGGCTGAGGTGCCCCTATGATTGAACAACCTGCCAAAACTCACAATTGAGGTTCAGAAATTGAGAATGGCCACTTTGGTGAGGTGCCTGAGGGTGACCAGTAGCTGTGGAATTATACCTTCCAGCAGAAGAAAAATGAAGAAAGAGTCAAACTGCTGGAGGAAAGTGAAAGAGAAATTACACAATTAATTTAGAGACAGTAATAATGTCAGATAAGGTCACTGCTGAGCTCACTGAGAATTCCAAACATAAGTGTCCTGGACGGTACAGGTCAGAACAACTGACTCACTTAAAAAACAGTATGATGGTGTGATGGTAGGGTGGGATGTTCTGGAAGGATGAGATCAGATAAGCTGCAGGGCCTTCTTCATCCAAACCAATCTTGTGAGTAGTTGGGAAAGAGGGATGAAGGGAGAAGAGCAGAATCCTGATTCAAACAGCAAAACGTTATACATAGCATCTTCTGTGAATATTATTTTCAAATTTATTCAGACTTGCCTCTGGCCCCAATCATCTTGAATATGGGGAAGTGGCCACAAAAGAGTTGGTCTTTATTTTGCTCATATATGCAAAGAAAGACGCCTTAATTTGACGAATGGTCTTTGTATTAGAAAAAGTTCAGAACAGACCAAGCAGATTGGTCTCAAATAGGACTACAATATTCAATGCAATTTACACTATACGGTGGCTTTCACATTTGGAGGACATCCAAAGAGCTCGATAATTCTGGTTCTCAATCGGAGCTGAGGGTGTGGGCCAAGGGTGGGTGAGGAGGAGGAAGATGAACGAAAGAGAGGCCAAAGAGGTAAGTTTTTAGGAGTAGCTTATAAAAAGTGGAGGAAGCAAGTCAGGGGAACCTGGAAATGGCATTCCAGAGAGTGGACACCAAGTGGCTGTAAACCGGCCTGCTGATAATGGGACAGATAGAGCAGGGCACATGGAGTAGGTCAGTGTCGACAGAGAGAAGGGAACAGACAGGTTGGTATGGGTGAAGAAGATAGAGTAGAGTTAAACCATGGAAGGATTTAAATGTGAGAACAAAGATCTTGAGCTCCATCCCTTGGGGGCATAGAGAGTCGGTGGAGCTGAGCAAGGATGGGTGTGACAGACTCGCAGACACTGGCACAGGAGACAACACAGACTGCAGAGGTCTGGACAGTCTGCAGCCTGAGCGGGGAATAGCTGGTTGAGTCCAATAAGCAGCGAAGAAAGATTTAAAGATTAAGATTCACAGTCTAGAAAACAGCAGTTACAGAAAGAATACATCAAGTACATAAAATAATGATTATAGATAGGAAACTCAGACTCTTACTTCAAAGTAAGACCGGAGGATATAAATGATAAATGCACAAATTAAACCTAGTTTGAGCAGCGCATTACCTGGCATTTGCAGCCTTGAGGTCACAGAAGTGGGTGAGTAGAGTCCGAACGACATCATTACAAACAACTTTAACTATGTCGATATTCATCAATCGAATGCGCAGTTGCTTTGCTATTTCCCAGAAATCTTCGGATAGCATGTGGTACAGCTGTCCTTCATCTTTGCTGATCTCCACATACCAGGAAAGAACATAGTCCCTGTAGCTGTAGTCAAACACTGAAACACAAAATATCACAGAAACAGCCAGATCAGTCAGAATTTTTGAAAGGTTAGGCACAAAATTCCGTTAAGGTTATACATGCCCCCTGCACTTGTTACATCAGATGTTGAAAGTGAGTGACTGAACTGGATTCGAATGCAGGCCAAATGATCCTTGCATTTGATATTTTGTAGTGGAGTGACAGTGTATTTGTGGATGAACGTGGCAGCCAATTTACATGCAGCAATCAACAGCAACAAGATTCCATTTATAGAGCGCCTTTAATAATCCTTGCATTTGATATAGCGCTTTTCACGTCGGGAGGACGTCCCAAGGCGCTGTACAGTTGGGTCAGGACCCGATCAGGGGGGAAATGGTGAGGGGAGGGAAGGGAGGGAGCGAGGAGGGGGTAGAGAGTCGAGAGGGGAGCTGAAGGCACGGTCAAAGAGAAGCAATGTCTCACAGAAAGCCATCAAGTAAATAACAAACTTTTTCTGGGGGATTGTTGTCCAGATGACCGGAGGAAACTCCATTCTCTTTTTGAATTTTTACTATGGAACCTTGAGCGCCCACCCAAACAGGCACAGATGGGGCCTTGCTTTAAATCGTTCAAGATGGCACCTCCAACCATGTAGTGTAGATGAGATGGTACAGGGATAATATAATACTTTTCAGTCACTGAGAAGTGGATTCAGATCTAGCGCTGAATGAAGAGACAAAGTGATCTTGTACAAATAGTTTTGTAAGCAATGAGCTGGGCCAATGGAAAAGTGCGGGCGCACATTTTCTGCATTTTCCGCCAAAACGGCCCTCATCCGCTACAAACAGCCCCTCAGGTAATAACCTTTACACACAGTGCGCCAGGCCCCAGGCCACTCGCATTGTTTGCTCAGTGATACTACTATGGTCCGCACATGCGGTGGCCTGCGGTGAATTTTGGGATTGCGGAAGCGGCATGTGCGGAAAAACCACTTCGCTGGTAAATAAACCTCGATACAAAAAGCAGCCGCGTCACACTACTGCGACAAACTCGTGGTAAGTGCTGTACTATTAAAATATTTAGTATCTTAAACATAAACTGCATTTTCAGGAAATATATACCTATAGTTTTAATCCGTGTTGTTTTACTTTTTAGGTTGTACAATACAAAAATGTCCAAACGTTTTTGTAAACCCCGTGAGGAAGCCCAGGGGCAGCCGTCTCATTATCCGTCAGTCCCTCAGATTGAACTGTAATCTATCCAGATGAACTTTATAAAGGGGGGCAGTTGTTCTGCCGCATTTGCTGTCACGCAATTTACCATGTTTACAAGTGCACCATTGATGACCACGTGAAATCTCTGAAACATTGTGAACCCAAGGCAGCAGCAATAAAGAAAAAAAAATGAAGGTAAAATACTTTTGATATACTTAATATTAAATGAAAATGTATCATTATTTGCTTTCACTATCATTTTGAAAGAAAATCTTAATCACCTCTCGGCTTGACTTCTCTAACGCCCTCTTTGCCGGTCTGCCATCCACCACCATCCATAAAAACCAAATCATCCAAAACTCTGCCATCCGCATTCTCATCCGCTTGAAACTCCGCTCCCTGATCACCCCGGTCCTTGCCAGACTGCACTGACTGCCAATCCCAGAGAGGATCGATTCCAAGATCCTCACCCTTGTATTCAAGTCCCTGCACTCCTCTGCACGCCCCTACCTCTCTGACCTCCTCTCTCCTCAAACCAGTACCCGTTGCCTTTGTTCTTCCAGGTCTGGCCTCCTCCTCATCCCCCAAGTCCTCCGCTCCACCCTTGGCGGTCGTGCCTTCAGCCACTATGCCGAGGCTCTGGAATTCCCTTCTTCACTCCCTTTGCCTCGCCCCCTCTCTTCCTACTTTCAGGTCCCTTCTGAAGACCTTTCTTTTCGACTGCGCCTTTGGTCACGTTCCTCTCCCTCCCCCTGGCTCGGCCCCGGGATTTGTTTCTGTGAAGCGCTCTGAGACGCCGTCCGGCGTGGAGGGCGCTGTATAAATCCAAGTTGTTGTTGTTGTTAATCCCAACATAAAACAAACACAGCAAACAAAAACAAATAGATGGAACATTTCTAATGACAAATGCATCACGAAGATCAATTTTTTTTTTTTCCTTTCTAGGTGGTTCTGCACCTCAAAGACAACTTGATCCGACAACCTGCTTCTCTAGAGCCTCTGCATCATCAACGGAGAGGAAAGAATTCAAATTGGACATTGTGCGGTGTTTGACTAGAGCAGACATACCACTTGAAAAGCTCCTGCCTTCCAAGAGTTTCTATGCAACTGCACGAAACAGGGAGGGAGTATTCCAATACCAGCAGCTTCGTAATATATACTTATTCCTGAGCATGAAGTATTTTTGAAGAAACATGTTGAGGACACGAATGCAAAATGCGCTTCTCAGTAGCACCAATCCAGCCCTCCGCAATTTTCCGCAAATTTGTGAAGCACTCCGCAATTTTTTAGCAAATATTTATTTCTGCACTTTTCTTTTGGCCCAGGCAATGTGTAAACCTAGCAGGTCAGGCAGCATCTATGGAGAAAGGAAAGTGGGTAATGTTTCGGGTCAACAACCCTTCACCTGTTCTGGTTTCAGATTTCCAGCATCTGCAGTATTTTGCATAATGTGTAAACCCGTTTGTATTAGGAGAGTTGTACAATCCTTTTCATTGGTTAAAAATAGATTGCTTCGAAGCATGATGTACTTTCAGTTCACAGAGCTATCTTTGTTCACCAAACTTTAAAAACATCATTAAAAATCATAATTATGACCTCACTGTCGGGATTGTTTGAGGGGATCTCAACTTCGATTTGCGCAATACTTGAATGTATTGAATGTAGGCTCTGGACGTAGCTCATCTACTTATGCTTCAAATCCTAGAAGCAAAATTTTTAATTAGTCACTAAAAATGCCAAGAATACACAAATAACCCTTTGAAAGTAAGTTATTGAAAATTCACTCTCTATATTGCAAATCTAGCATTTTGAGAAAAGTTAACAGTTAAAGAATCCCACTTTTGGAAGCTACTCTGATCTACAATTAGACTTCTTGTAAAAAGCTGCCTTCTATTCCTGAATATAGTATAACGAATGGTTAATAATCATACTTATTTTCAAATATCCCTCTTTTGTCCATTTCATATCTTCTGGCGACAAATGTACATAAACTTCCATTCATCTGCACTGTATACCAGTTTCCATTCTTTTCGACATACAAATACATTATTTTGTCCAGTTCCCTTGCTTTTTCATGTACACTTGTCAGAGTCACGTAGCTTGGCACCAACACTAAATTTCATCATGATGCAATAAACACTTGTCGTAGACTGTCGTACTGGGCATCTTATTTGCATTTGCAAATTTTAATTTTAATTCATAAAATACAACAGCTTTAAAATATCTTAAAGTGATTAAGTCACAACGCAGAAGATTAGATTTGGCTCTTTAATAGCTCGTAGTGCTATTTATATAGTGCCCTTCACACGGGGTAGCGTCGCAGAACACTTCACAGTGGCGGAGTCTGATCCCAAGTCAGGGGTAGAGGGATATGGGATAGAAAGGAAAGCGGGGGATCAAACCTGACATCTAAATTGGGCATAGGTTTGGTGAGTCTGAGGGAGAGCCAGGGCAGGTTGTGGAATTGAGACCCGCAGGAGTGAAGATGAGGACAGGAGCCAAAGAGTATGGTTTCCGTCTTACCGACATTCAGCAATGATACTGGTTTGCTATGAGTAATTTCAAGACAATAATCTGGTTGACATCTTAAAATGTCATAAACTGCAGGAATACAGATAGAATTCACTGAAAGCTAATCAACAGAACCGAGTATAGAGGTAATTTCAGGAATATGTGACCTACAATTTTATCAGGGCATGTATGACAGTGATTCACAGCAAAAGTTATGATCATGAGTATATTGTATATCTAGAATTCATTTGACAGCTCGCAGAGCATTTCTGAGGCAGTGATGCACAGAATTTCAACAAGCATCCTGACAATACACTGAAATCTCAATATCCCACTGAAAAAACAATAAAACTTTTTAAATACTTCACCTGACCAAGCATTACAAAGATTTGTTGCCTCAATATACTATTATTCTTTCAGTGCGAGGTCAAAGTACCAACAGCAATAAATGGCAGAACAAAGAAGAATCACTCCAGCATTCTCTACATACAATAAAACTCGTATAAGTCTTATCTTGATAAATTATATAATTTCATAAGTTGTAGATGCGCTCGAGTCCCATTCAGTTTCCTATAAAAAACACTTTGATTTCTTTGCACTAGTCACATTTATCATCTTGTAACTCATAAAGCCCCTCCCCTATCCTCCATTACTCCGGCCCTTAATGGTTGCATTGAATCGCGGGAAATGACATCCTGACCGATCACCACATGTGCACTTACCGGCTGCATCAAATGACACGTGCGCTGTGTAGATTGATTCAATCGGATTTTATACGACTATAGATTGCCTGAAACTTGGACTTCATATATTAAATATCATGGTCCAGACTGATACGAATTATGAGAGTTTTATTTTACGACAAGAAATATACTTGATATGGTATTGTGTCCAGTGAACATCGTCTAGTTAGCTTCGTGTACTTGAAAATGTCAATTAAAAATCCAAAATGCAAACAAGATCAGAAATATGTGGTGTGGCCCACACTTACTTATATAGACTCTTAGTCCATTAAATCATCGCATTGGTGAAACCAGTCGCAACAAACTCAAATCGAGCACTATGGAATCATTATTGTGGTGACATTTATTAAGTAAGCAATGTCGAACCATTCCAGGCTGGCTGGAAATCATCACAAGTCCCAGTTTGTTTATTATTTTACCAGATCAGCAGTTGCTAAGCAACCAGTGCAGTCTACATGAGATAGAAAACACTGTCCTTTTGACAGGAAAACTGCATGGCTTATGGCACAATTATATCAGAACATAATTCTTCTTGGCATCTACAATATCAGAATGAACTTTGGAAGTCA